TGCTTTATCCTCAGCCTTGAATTGATGGGCCCTTACCATGAAGAGCATGATGAGGTGGCCAGTATGGCTACCCCGCGGCCAGTTTCTGTGAGGTAAAGCTTATCTCAGCAAAGCAGTGCGAGGATAAATGGCATATACCACAACTGTATTGTGTGGAAGATTTCACAGTATTAGCCATTTGACAGTCAATAAAGTGATTGTTGAAGAAATTTGTTGAAGAAGTCCATCATGCCTTGAACATGATGATTTGGGCTACATCAAAACAAATCTTCTCCTGACAGCATTTTTCTTCTCACTGGTATCAACCAGGAGTTCAGAACATTCATAGAGTGATTCTTCTATTTCCAAAGTATTACATCACCAATATCCCAAGTGATATTTTTTCAAGGAAATTGAATGAAATTCTCATATAAATCAATATAATACTTATATTAGACCCTATATGTACAGCACATAAAAAAAAGCATTGTCTTGATGCTCCTGTTGCTACACAGAGTGCAGACTACTTTCTTTTACCAAATTGTCAGATGAGTCAGGGGCGAGGCAACTCAGCACCGGAATGCCCAGACAGGCGCAACACAACCTCAAACACGCTACACAAGACTTGCGCTGGCGCGAAAATGAAATTCCACCCGTTGTTACGGTGAGTGCACGGGCGCCAGTCTACCAAAATAGCACGCCTGATGTTCGTGCAGTTAAGATTAGCTCTGGGCAATGAAGTGTTTAAGTATATATTATTGGCTGTGTGATACAGTATATATGCCAAAATGCCCAGACATAAGATAGCACAAGGTTAGCAAGCTGCCTGCTCCCTGGATATACAGTCTTCAGCACTTGCGTGTTGCATAGTGTTTTCCGCTGAGTACAAAGAGAATAACTCAATTTCTTCTCACCTCGATGAAGGTGTAACAGGGAGATTTATCACATGAAATAAAGAAAAAAGGAGTAAATAAGTGAAGCTGATACTTTAAGTGCATTAATAGGTTATTGTAATAGCAGAACAGGAGCAGTTAAGGAAGTGTCTTAAACACTCAGTGCTGCACATTTAGCAAGACTGCTGTGATATAGTTTAGCAATTTACAACTAGCAATTTACTGAGAAATTGTCAACATTCCTGTCACAGCATCATCTTTTATTGGAGCTTTGCACACATTGCCACATTAACCATAACCTACTGTTCATTCATATTGTAAAATGACAAAAAGAAACTCACTGCATCATACCCTCTGGAACTGAGCTATACCAGATTGAATCGAATAGTGATCCCACTGAATCGAATGAAATCAAATTGTTTCACTGAAGTGGCTCCCCTCATTTCTTTTGAATTCAGCGCAGACAGACGCCCGCGGTCTACATCTCATGTTAGATGCAGAAGATTGGTCCGCGCAAAGTACATTCAAAAGAAAGTACAAGAAGATCTCTACTTGCAGATGATGTAAAGTTGGCTGCTGCAAAGTGGGCACTCTGAGACCCGCCTTCTGCCCCCGATCGTGCGTCCCTGCGGCGGTGCATGTCATAAGACGTGTGGCATAAAGTGGCATAGACACGCCTAGAGTGCATGCTGAGCCACCGAACACAGAGCAGCTTCAGTCATTGGACTCACGTTTGTCATTATGTTGATACATGGAGTTCAAAAGACAATTAAATAGCTATGAAGCCAAACATTAGCGCTTATAATGCCCCATCGTATTTGCCATCTTGTCAACTGAGCTATAAGGCGATCTAATTGTCGACACAGGAATGAGGCAAACGGTGCATGTGGGTGTGCATGCAATGATTGTTTTTGATGTCGGTAAATCCTAAAGAACGTTAATTGGAGGTAACTGCTTCACAGACACTAAAAGCGTTTGAATGGGAAATGGTCTCCTCATAAATCGTTTTAACGACTTCACAAGTATCAGGAATAGTAATCCAATAGAAATCATGATGACACTTAATTGTTTGCCCACCGTGAGGAGGCCTGAAGAAAAACCTTTTATTTCTTTTTATGGTATACATAACTGCGTCGTCGGTTACAAATGTGAACCAATTCATTTATGTCACACTCAATGGTGTACTGATTTGGTGGCTGTTACTCCAATTAAGCTCATTTCCATTGTAAAGACATTGTGTATTGCTTTGATGCCACCCCCAGTATCTACTACGGATACTATTATGTATGGGTATACTGTATACAGTACCGGGATAGTCAATCCCATTTTGAAATGGTATATAGATTTATGAAAATGATCAATAAACAAAACAAAAAAAAAAAAACCCACGCATGTCGGGTAATCTATTTTTACACGGCCAGATATTACAGGAAGGCTTGGTAGCGAAAAGGGAGAAAGATGTGTGACGTGCTGATGGAAAGCGGATCTATAAAGCCTTGTCTCCTTTTCATATTTCCATCACATCTATGTAATTATGATTGGATTCTTTCCTACTTTCTCGGAAGAAGTGGTAATATGAGGCTCCTTATGATGGTGGTGTTAGAGGTCAGCAGAAAGGCGTCCTGTGTGGGTGTGATCTTTAGCCAATCATACCAAGGCATGGATGGACCACAGCCAGTGGACTCGAAGGGCCGTCACTGACAATTCAGGATTACCTCTTCAGCACACAAGTAAAACGCTCTCATACTTACTAATAAATTACTTTCACACACACTATGAAACACTTTCACACATGGGACTGTTTTTTTCTTTCTCTCATACATTTGCAATTGAAACACTCTAACACACACAATTAAAGTGGTCTGACACACACTGCGGATGGTTTTTTTGTTTTTGCTCATTTCCAGAAATGCTCTCACCCACCACTAAAACATTCTCATACACATCACTGAAAGACGGAAGCTTTCTTTTTTCATTCCCTTACTTGTTTTTAATAATTTGGGTCATGTTTCAACAGTCCCTTGAGGAGTGTAGCTTTTTAAGACCATTGATGGAATTTTAGATGTTCATTTTAAGATCATTACTATTTTTTTAATTTATTTTGTATGATCTGCCGTTATTAGGTTTGTTAACCTTCTTATCCCTTGACTTGCTGTTGATTAACCAATGTCAGCAGCAAGATTTACTCTGTAAAGTCCTCTAAAATAAGCACGGTTTTAGTATTTTTCTCTGAGATCACAATATAGTGTCATCCAGTTCAAGTGAGTGTCACATCATTTAGAGACACAGAGAGGGGACACAGTTGCTTGAGGGTGATGTGCGCGCAAACAAAAATGATTTAGAAGAGCTTAATTGTAATAATGTGTAACATGGAGCAAGTGTTTGGTAGCTCCGAGGAAAACTCGCAGACAGTGCTAGCATGAAATTGCTCTGTTAAGAGGACGATATCCGTCATGCAGTTGTGGAACAACAGCCCCTAGACTTCATGGGAACAAAATATGCTGGCCTTACAAATCTATTACACAAAGTATTTTCATTTGGTGAATACATCAAAACGCTAAATCCATGTGGTGAACATGACTGCTAAGTCTGATTTAATTTTACTTCATAAATTGTATGCTGTTCGACAAAATACAACAAATCCTGCCACGGATCTTCTGGCATAACATTTGTTAATCACATTATTGTTAATTAATGTTGCAATTTGTTTTTTGGATTTTTTTTTTTTTTTTTTTTTTTTTTTTGCTAACGCATGACAGTGTATTGACCAAAATGAGGAAATGAGAACAAAGCAGTCAGCGGAATGGCACTCTTATATCACTGCACTATGGAGAAAAGCCAGAGGAAAGGAAATATAATAGAGGGATAAATGCGACATTTACTGATAGCCTTATATCCTTGTGAACTAGTTTACAAGAAAATATTGGAATTACAGTCAGAATGATTTATAATCAGTTGTTCAAACTCAGGCTGTAAACTTCCTATCGCCATGAATATTAACACACTCCCTCGCTTGTACTGTACCAGCTTTCTCCTCCTTACTCTCACAGGCAGATGTCATCTCACAGCACTATTTGCAATTATTGATGGGGAAATTTGGGATTTTTTTTTTTTTTGCCATCTCCATAGATGCATATCCTTTCTCAATCACCATCACACATACAGTAGTTAGATACAGTTAGTGCAGTCTTAGGTTCTTCTTACTGTACATTTGCAGTTTTGTACCCAGGTTTGGACAAAATAAAAAGGCTCATGGGGACTCTCCAAAGTCGTTCTGTAAAAAAACATCATGAATAACAATTGTCAACAAAAATGTTGTCCAAAAGCTTCAGTTCATTGACTATTTTAAAAGCTGAGATGTTTCGTCAACGTGTACGCTTGTAAAATGTTTTAAAAAATGTGCTGATCCAATATACCGCACGGGCAGCAAAATCAAACCAGAGTTCATTTTAACCGAGCGAACGTGACAAGTGTGATCATAATCTCATTGTGCTTCCTTATGTCCTAGCAAAGGAACAAACTTATGTGACTCACACCACCCGGCAAAACAGACGTACAACGGTATGCTGGCAAGCATTAAAACTACTCTGTTTCCATTCATACACAGACTCCCATTTTTAATTGACCACTTCCTTCATCATTTGAGAAAGCATCACACACCCATCTATTAGAGGCATCGTGCCGCAGGGGTCTCTCGCACTGAGTAGCAAGGTAATTAGAATGACTCCACTATCTTCCTGGTCGTGTCCATGGTCTCCTAAAGACAACAATGTAATTTGTGGAGACAGGAAATAGCCGGTGCGGAGGTCACCAAAAGCCATAATTGGACCAGTCAGTCAATAATGCTGCAGCCTTTGAGGCTACTAATGAAGCACGAGAGACATGACCGTGCATGCCAGTTTCTTGGGCAACGGAGACATGACTGCACACTCACCAGCATTCAGATGCATTGCTGTAGTGCTGAAGCTGAGTTGGTGAGCAGTATTATTTGGAAAGCCGCAGCTGTCCAACCCTGAGAAGAAAATGAAGGCGCGTCTTGCTTCTTCAAGTATCTCAAATAGCACAAGATTGAGTAGGAGTGCACTGTATTAATATGTTGTGTTTGTCGTTGTCTTGTTTTTCTTCCAGCTGGAACAACGTACATATTCGGGCGAGATGGCGGTATCATCACATACACGTGGCCGCCAAACGACCGGCCCAGCACAAGGGCAGACCGGCTAGCAATTGGCTTCAGCACTCACCTAAAGGACGCCGTCCTGGTGAGGGTGGATAGCTCCTCTGGTCTTGGAGACTTCTTGAAACTGCACATCGTAAGTGGAGAAATATACTCACTCGCTACCAAGCAGTGTTTAATTTGCTGTCATAAGAAAAGGTCCCTGCTAGATTCCAATGTCTTTTCCAAATGTTACGGCTTTTTCAGGTGTTCGTTTTCGAACAAGGGTATTTCGTTTTCGTCCATCTCTGACTTGGATATAATTCAGCTGGCTACCACATAACCTGTAGCTAAAACGCTCTTACTGATAACACTAATGCTAAAATGAATAGGGCTCCCCCGCCACCCATACGTAAAAACCTGTCCGTAACACCGGAACCTCCAACACACAAATGTGTAATTGGTTGTGCTTTAGCCCCAAGTGTCTACACACTATCTACACAAAGTCATTGTGTCTTGATATAAGCAGGCCTGTTCTGAGGAAACGGAACATCTGTCTCTGGGTCTCACTGATGTGGAAATGCATTTTGGGCATTTTTCTCTCCAAGCCTTAGGTATTTTTGACGCACAGCTCATCATCCGAGTGTAACTAGCCAGTTTAAAAGGCGACAACCTGTTATATACACGCCGTTAATTTCCAAATGTCATGCCGGCACACTAACAAGACACGAAGAAGAATGTGAATTAGAGTACATGCGCAGAAAAAGATCAGTCAGATGTGCCAATGCTGTGATTCAGTGTTTTTAAATGATCTTGCAGACAATTGGGCAAAGAGGGTTTTTTTTTGGGGGGGGGGGGGGTATAGACTCCTTAAATTACTATAATTGTGCATTACCTCTTTTACATTCAGGAGCTCGTGGTTGCTTGTTATATGCTTCACAAACCTTTGCAGCTCATTTGAAAACTGAGTGCAGGTGATAACCGTTTCTCCATTGCACACACAATAGACAACTGTCATATAAAAGTATGTTAACAGAGTCCAAAAAAGACCTCCAACTGATGAGCGGACATTTTTCAAAGTAAAAGCCGTAGTGGTGTAGGTCATATCTAAATAGTAGATATATATAATTTGACATATATATAGATATATCTATATATCTATCTATATATACATATATATATATATTTTTTTTTTGTTTTGTTTTGTTTTGTTTTGTTTTTTGGTTATGTAAAAGAAAAGATGACCTACGGAGGCCAATGGGAAGTCTTGGTGGGCAAAAATTCGACAGGAAAGCTTTTGCGGCTCACAGCAAATTCATGTGTTGCCTTGTTGTTGCAACATTCAATTGACAGGGAGAAATTGTTGATAAGCCATGTTCTACAGGCGGGGGCAGTGGGTTGTGAGAATTCCTTCCCCTCTCGCATCACCAGTCACTCCGTTTGCCTCCTCATAATTACTTATTCATTAATGCACAATATTTTGGCAGGCTCTGAGACTGCCGCATTTTGTTAGAGAAAATGAGAAAAGGAACTTTTTAAATTGCCCCAAAGAGACATGAAGTAACAGAATCCCAAGTTGGTGTATTTCACTGATCCAGTTTGGACATTAAATTAAAAAAAAAGAAAAAAAGGAACTCTGCAGCTACTGTATGTGTTTTATTGACTATGAAAACAATCCTATCTGCTGCTGGTGTTCATTAGAATGCATTCTTACCAACCAACATACTGAAGAATGATTCCCACAGATACCCCCGCTCCCTCACTCCTCTTACTCCCTCATGTTGCTTCGACTCCTCTTTAGTGGAGGAGTGTATCTTTAGCTCTATGAGATGGGATTAGACCAGATTTCTCTATATACACTCTCCCACACCCCCTTTCCCCCCCAGCCTCACATACCTAATCGCAGCCTCCCATTTCACGATGACAGCAAAATCATCGGGCCTTGAAGGACGCAATCTCAGTTTGCACTTTTTTTAAAGGAGGAATATGTGGAGACTGTGATTTAAATGCAGCTCAACAGAGTTGTGATCCCTCTCCCTGCTACTCCTTCTTCATTGCAGAAAAAGACAATGACAGTGAAATCAGTGAACCGTCACCTGTACGGCGATTACTCTCCTCTAGCTCATCATTGTAGCACATATGGAAGGAGGACTCCATTTTTAATCATTTTCGTCTCTTATTATAACGCTGCTCAATTTATTCGCCATGGCGCTGCGCTATTTCCATTAGGCTGTTGGAACTAGTCTGCGACCATATAATAACACTTGTCTGTACATGATAAAAAAGCCCTCGCACGTAGATGTTTAAATAATAAATCTCTGCAGTGACATTATGCATTCGGGGTGTACTGGAAACTGACTATAATCACGATGTCTTGTTTGGTGAATGCAATTAAGATTATTTCCCTGGATGCAATTCTAGTTTAATTGAAGAATACCACCATGCAAGTCTACATTGTTAAAATGACTCAAGCACTTAGTAATTGTGCCATGTGCAGTGTTCAGATTCTTGGTGAGTCTGTAGTTCAACTTCGACTTCAAAATAAAAGTCGTCCTTGAAGTCTTTGTAGAGTTTGGTCCAGACCTTGACCCAAACGCCTTTTCAAACAGACCCAGATCTGTTTGTTTTTTTTTTAATATTATTTTGGCCATGAAGAGTAATTTAACGGTGTAATGTTTTGGAGCCTGACGTTAGTCACGGATCATTAAAGTAGTAAATATAAACACCAATATGCATTCCAACACCTCCCACATGACACAACTCAGTCACTTTAATTGTTTATTCCTAGCAGTTTTGCAGGTGAATAAACAATGAGTGGGTGTGTGAGGCAGGCAAAAGGAGGAGAGAGACTAATTTCAAGATTAACAGATGATTTCAAGGTTAACAGGTAATGATGTGCTTGAAAAAAAAACAAACAGCATTTAAAGCAACAGTATATAAATAGATATAGTTGCCCACTTACACTCTTCTTTTTATTTTTGATACATTCATTTTTTGCTCCAGTGTTACAGTTCATTTTCGAATTGTATCTGCTTTGGCATTTGGTTGGTAAAACCTTACAGTTTATGCACCGGTTTACAAAAGAACACTGGTCAACACACTGAAAAGTGGACTTTTCTTTGTCAAATTTAGCCCTGCGTGCATGAACACATTTTCCCATGGGCTTAAACACTTTTGCTCTTTCACACTCCGGAGACTGAGGTAGGTCCAGCGTCCCGTGAAGGTGAAACATCGTATTGCGCATTTTGATGCAGTTAGCTGGCCTGCGATAGCCCAACCACAGCTGACTGGTGCTGACAGTGCGGGACATACCTGGCCCACAATACTCATCGACACTCACCGACTCCCCAACAGGCCTAATGTGTCCTTATTTCACAGAAGGTCCAATATCACTATACAGAGCGATGCAAGTAAACTTTTTTTGAATTAATTTTTACACCGGTTCCGAATCTGCCCTCCAGCACATCTGGTTTTCATAATAATGTACCGTGCGGTCGTAACAATGATATAATGTGTGATACAGTGATATATTGAGTGATATTTATCGATTAACGGTTAGCTTCAGCTACAGGTAGATTTGGTTTGCTAAACGTCACAGCTATGAATTGCAAGCATGGTGAAATCTGTTTTGCGCAAGCTTTTATAGGTCCAAATTAAAAACAAAAAATGAAAATATGTCAACAACGTGTTGTACTAGAAAAAAAAGAGACATTTTTAGGGCCACATAAAGCCATTTCTGATTAAAATAAATGCTGCGGACCAGTGTATTATATCATATTAATTGGCAAAAAATATCCACACCAGCAGATATTTTTCTTTTCACCTGCAAGGAGCTTTTCTGCTGTGTGTGTGGTTTTTTTTGTTTGTTTGTTTAAACCGCCGAGCTCACACTTCTACAACTGTTACAGTCAGTAATGACATAATGATGAGTACTATCGAATCATTTGTCTTGATGTGCTTCATTGTCGGTCGTCAAATACGTTAACGTGACTCGCCTGTCTGTTTCTTTTCACTCGGGAGCCACTGCTTTATTGATGGACCGCCAAACATGCAAATTATTTTTATTGATTTTATTTTATTCAGAATAAAAAATGTATGCTCTCCTTCTAAGTGTTGTGTGTTAGACGGAGGAGTGCACACATCAGCGGTGTGCATATCCGATGATGGCACAATTGTTATTTGAGGTATTTTTATATTTAAACTATGCTACGATTTTCAATTGGATTTGAATGACATTCTTAAGTCTCAAGAAAACGGCACACTCCGTGATTTACAGCCTGCCTCTTACTAGAAAGAGTCATGCTTATTTGATGGTTGTGCACAAATTGGGAAATTACGCATGGTGGTTGGATGTGTCAGAAGTCTGGACAGTAGAATGCGTGTAGGTGAAAGGTGCACAAAGCCAAAGAATATGACCCTATGTGCTCAACCGGTACTAAATTTTTTGAGGTATCATTCGTGTTTTTCATCCCAAGCAACAGTTCTCTCCATCTTAATACAATTTGTCTATTTTTAGGAAGCCATTCACTCTGTAAAATGGTGGCTTCTCTGTTGTTTTCGTAGTTTGCTATCAATGAGCAACGATATGCAGCACCATTGGAGGCTCTCCTCATTCTCCTGCAAGGTCCCTAGAGGTCCACTGAGCTTGTATTGTGCCTGCTCTCAAATCTCTGTGTGGGGGGTTGGGGACAATTCCAAGTACTGCCTTCGATCCCTTTCTTCTAATTGCCAACAAGACTTTAAAAAAAAAAAAAAAAAAAAAGACTGGCAATGAAGGCACTCAGGCTAAGACAATGTACTGTGAAGTTAATGTATTCCACAGATGAGAGAGGATCTTGGAGAAATAATGACTTCTCTGCTGGAGCATTGCTCCCCTTGGTTCTGTTTAGCTGTCTACTAGAAAGAGGATTTTCTCTCTCTTGTGGATCACAATTTTACTGTAATTTCAACTCTCACTCCGTATCCTAATAAGAAAAAATAGCTCGAGGAAAACGCATAGCCATGAGTAATGTATGAGAAGCTCTATTTGTAAGATAGAAATGTTTTGGTTTCTGAATACAGGATGCACAATTTTGTGCTGAATGATGACGGCAGATTCGGATTTGATGCTGAGATGAGAGTGAGACCTGGGAGAGGAGCTGTGAGCCTCTCGAGGCA